CAACACAAAGGCTGGCGAGTGGGGAGGTCATGCAGTGTGTGCATGAAGCTGATAGTTATAGGCTAGGTGGCAGAACAGACACTAAAGGAGAAGCCAGGGTTAGTTCTGCCCCCACCCCCAAACCTTCCACTTAACCTCTGCCTGGCAAACCCCAACCATATTTCAGCTGCACGCAGATTATATGACCAAACTGCTGACACATCACACTGTCCTTTGAGTGGGTGTCCCTCCCTTCTGTCTTGGCTCACTGTCGTGTGTCATCACTCCTGTGCTTACTAGACTCATGGAACCACTACTCTTCCTCTGTGGGGATAGCGAGAGAAACATGCTTGTTCAAGGTCAGGCAGGGATCTAGAAGCCATGAGACACAGGGAAGAACTCAGGATCCAAGCAGGCTGATCTGGATTATTTCCTGATTTTACTGCTGGTTTTGAGGTTAACCTAGGCCTCTGCTAAACTTCATTTTACCCCACCTTCTTCTTCAGGGGTAAAATGGGAATCCTGAACATTCTCACCCCAGGTTCTTAGGGTAGTGAAATGGCAGAACAGAAGTGAGTCAGACAGAAGCCTAGATATTAGTGTGGGGTATTATTAAATGCTAGTTATTTTCCTTAAAAATGGAGGCTCATTCATCTTCACACCTTTCTCTGCCGTGCTTGCACATCCAAGGCACTTTATCTGGAGTTGACATCAGTGGATGTCATTGCCGAGCTGGCTGCACTCGTGGTGAGCAGCCATCCACATTGGTGGATGTACACTCCTGTCTGGTGTTTGCAACTTTGACGCTGCATGATCTCTGCAGAGCTGGAGCCATTCCAGGTGGAGTCTGTCCTGTAACTCAGCCTGCACTGTAAAGTGTGCACCCATCTGGGTCCCACATCAGATGCCGCACCGCCTAGGACTTCAACCATGGACTTCTCTGGAAGAACTTCTTCTTCCTTTGGGAGCAATAGGTATTCATAGTCCCTAACATCTAAATTTTTTTTTAAATTTTGTTGATTTTTATTGAACTCTAAATTTTTCTTTGCTCCCCTCCCCTTCAACCTTCTCCCAAGGTCCCCATGCTCCCAGTTTACTCAGGAGATCTTGTCTTTTTCTACTTCCCATGTCAATTAGATCTATGTATATCTATCTCTCTTAGGGTCCTCATTGTTGTCAGTGTTCTCTGGGATTGTGATTAGTAGGCTGATTTTCTTTGCTTTATGTTTAAAAACCACTTATGAATGCATACATGTGATAATTGTCTTTCTGGGTCTGGGTTACTTCACTCAAAATAATGTTTTCTAGCTCCATCCATTTGCCTGCAAAATTCAAGATGTCTTTATTTTTTTTTCTGCCATGTAGTATGTGCAAATGTACCACATTTTCCTTATCCATTCTTCGGTTGAGGGATATTTAGGTTGTTTCTAGGTTCTGACTATGACAAACAATGCTGCTATGAACATAGTTGAGCACACCTAACATTTAACTTTGTAATCTACAAAAGATTTCCATTGGTTGTCCTGAAGTGAATAGAGCACTGAAATTGTCAACAGTGAGAATGGCCCATTCAATGGATCAAGACGCTGCATCTCCATCACAGGGCTCTTCCCATCCGAGCCCACACCGTAGGGAGTCTGGAAAGGGCTTTGTTCTTACCTTCTGATCACAGCCCTGTTGCTCTTCCCCGTGACTGAAGGCTTTGGCATATGTAGTTCTTTACATATGATCCCAGTGAGATAAAGAACATGAGCTTAGTCTCAGAACATTTCGTGTTTGATCATGATGCCATCGCTTCGAAGCTGACAGTCATTCTCCTAAACGTGCTTACTTGCTGTCTTCCTGCTTCTAGTTTGCTCTGGGACTAATGGTGCCTGGGTGGGTCTGATACTCTGAGTGATAGGTGAGGAGGCATTTCTTCATGAACCACTCCAAGTCAACAAGGCTGCAGGTACAGTTGGGCTGAGGCTGCATAGCCTGGTATATTAAGAGTGTTATGTTTTCAGGAGGCATAGCCTGTCAGAGCTAGAGAGGTACTTGGGGGCCACTGAGGCTATTTCTTCAGATGCTGAAACAGAGACCCTGAGCGAGGCACTGACTCACCTAGGCTCACATACCAAGTGAGTATAAAGCAAGCCTCGAATCTGAGATGAGCCTTCGGGTCTCACAGCACCATACTGCTGTAACAATGGGATGTGTCTGCATTCACCCTGACTCTATGGTGTTTCATTGGAATTGATTTTAAATCATTAAGTGAAGAAAGAGAAGGAGTCTGGGGAGATGGTTCAGTGAGTAAAGACACTGGTCCTTAAGCCTAAGGGCCTGAGTTCAGTTCCAGAACCCACAAAAAGTGGAGAAAATAATCAACTCCCAAAAGTTGTTCTGTGACCTCCACAAGCACACCGTGGTACATGCATGCAAATATGAACACGTATATATGTGCATGTGTTTGCACATGCATGTGCACCACACACACACACACAACCACACTCTTTTTTTAAAAAAAAAACTTGTATAGGACAGCTTTTCTTATAAACCAAGTTACAGAAGTGCAATATATAATTAAAAGCTTGAAAAAAAATTTTTTTTTCATTGTAAGATGTTTGGAGACTGGTCTTCTTGATTTGGAGCATGAAAAAGTCTTGAGCAAAACTATAAATGATTATATTAAACCAGTTATAAATTCTATTAACTCATTGAAGTGAGATTTTGTTGTTGTTTTTGTTGTTCGTTCTTTTTCTTTCTTATTTTATTTTTTTGAAAAAATAGTTTACTTTTAAGTCAAAGTTACAATAATGTAAATCCCAAACACAACCACACTCTTAACTAATTAATTTTTTGAGAGAAAAGAGTTGTTCAGAGATATATGCCTCAGACAGTATTTAAACACACTTTTAAAAATGTGCTTTTATGAAAGCAACATATGAACATTGAAGAAAATAGAAAAGAATTTTATTTAGAAGTCAATAAGTTAAGCAATATTCTTAGTCCTCAGAAATAGTCTGACAAAGAGTGCCATGCCCTGTAGATGAAGGAGTGAACTGGTAGTTCCTCAAACCCTCCATATTTGACTCTGGAAAGTAGGACAATCCAGAGAGATACATGGGGACTGAACTTAGTGCTATGAACTTCAGAGCTACATTTTACTATAACTAATCCTAGTAAGAATAAAACCCATTTGCATTGGCAGTCTCTGCTTGGTAACTACTTCTCCATAAGTGTTCTCATTTAACTGTTGGGTCATTAGGAGAAGTTTGTAAAGCAGTAAAACTATTCTCATTTTGAAAACGAGAAAGTTGATCCTGAGAGAGATTAAACAACTTGTCCAGGATCATAGTGCCAGGAAGCAATGGAGCCCCTGACTTCAGAGAGTTGGCATCAGAAGGCAGGGCACTCAGTAAACATCTGAGTATGAACAAATGACTGGATGCTTGCTCCCCCTCAAGAGAAGAATCTAGGAAACATCTGGTCCTGTGCTTAGAGTCCATAGAACTGGGGCAGTGAAGGCTGAGTACACAGGGCTCATGCCCCTCACCACTGCTCCATACAAGGCAATATCACAGTGCCTGAGATACTGAAGACAGTTTAGCTAGTGTTTCTCCTACCACACTGATTGCCATTCTGGAATGCATCAGAAGCTCTTCCTGGAGATCTGTTCTGGGGTGAGCACCTAGCCTCTGGTGAACAACTAAGAAGGTTGTCAGAACATTATCGGGGTTCTAGTGGCCTGCTTCTTGGAGCTGGAGAGGCAGGAGTCACCCCAGATCATGTCATCCTGTAGAAGACAAGTCCCTCAGAGTCTAATATGCATGCCTCATCCGCAGCCCTTCCCCCTGCACCACAGCAGCAGCTGGGCCAGCAAACAAATGACACAGCAGAGAATAACAAAATGGTTTCCATAGCGATGCTTAGTGCCTGTCAGCATGCCTCAGACAAACCCTAATCTGAACCCTGACTAGAGCAGTGTGAAATGTTACCTACTCCATCCATGGCAAGGAAAGATTCCAGAGGGTGGCATGATTTTTGTCCTGTGACTGTATACTGGGGGATTTCCCCCAAGTTCTCTAATAGCTGGCAGCAGGTTAGACCAGGCCAAAGAGGAGTAGGAATTGGATCCTGGGCATGAAACAGGACCATCCAGCAGCAGATGAAGAGTGCCAGCTGAGCAGGTATCATGTGAGCTCTGCTGAGTACTGTATGTATCTGTTTAAAAACAACAAAGACAAGTGAGAGGTGACTGTCCTTATTTACAGGTGATGAAGCCAAGACCTAGGTGTACATGCCCAATGACATCAGTATCAGATCCAAGCCTGGCTTGCCTCATAGCTACTGAGCAGCAACAAATGATTCCAAAATCTCCGTTCCTTCCTCCTGAGTAAGGACTCAGGCTAGGTACTGGCCAGTGGCTCCTCCTTATCTCAGGAGGGAGAGAGTTGGGTCAGTCTACCAGCAAGTCATTCTAATAGCTACAGTGAAGTAGTCCTGGCCAGGTCTGCCAGAACAGGGAGATCTAGAGGAGGCATGAAGATGGTCTAGTTCTTACTCTGATACCTCCATTCTCCTATAAGTACGTCATTCTATACGTATATACCTACACACGCGCGTGCACGCATGCGCACGCACACACACACAGAGCAGTTCTTTTGGTGAGGATTGCTATCATTGTCCTGCCCAACTCTTCAGTCTGGCTTCCTCTCAGGAGACTGAGCCACTCTAGAGGCCATTGGCACTTAGGAACTATTCATGCCAGAAACAAATATTTACCGAGCACCTTTTCTGATATATAACTTTTTTAGTTCTATGATAGAGCTGTTGAAAAAGAAATCTAGTTTTTGTTCTCTTGGAGCTTTGCATTCTAGCAGAGACACAAAGGTTCTGGTGGGCTGTTACATGGTAGGAAGAAAAAGGTCTCAAGCTCCCCAGGAATTTGACAGTATCCCCCAAGAAAGCCTGGCCACAGGGTCCAGGCACTTCCCCCTCAAATATCACACCTTCTGGTCATGCCATTTCTTCCATGACAGCCTTCCCGGAGAGAATTGTTGGACTATGTCCATGTCGGCAGCCTGGCCACTCTCCAGGAGGAAGAACACTGCTTCCCTTGGACCAGGGCTTGCAGCTACATATAATGGCAAGTTTCCTTTCAGATATACAGTTTTTATGATAATAAGGATAGTCACAAAGAAAATGTATATGTATTAATCCATATAGAATTATAAAGAGTATATTCACTTTGTTCATGAAAAAGCAAAGCGTAGTTCAGAATCCCTGAGAGCTGTGCTAGCGCCTGAGGCCCGTCTGCGTCATACTGTTTCTCACTTGGTTCTCAGGTTATACTCCCGCAGGCCCACCACAGGGCTTTCTGCAGAGTGTGTCCATTCATGTTTGTCTGACAGGGACCTCTGTTATTTTTTGTTTTGAGACAGAGTCTCTCTATGTAGCCCTGACTCTCTTGAAACTCCCTATTTATACCAGGTTGGCCTCAAACTTCTGCCTCCCAAGTGCTGGGAGAAAGATGTTCACCTCTATGTCCTTGGCACCTCCATCTTAGACTGCTCCAAACAGAGCTCCTCATCTTCTCCCCAAAGCTGTTCTTCTCCCAGGTTTCCTCTGCTTCATGGTACTGCTACAGTAAGGGATAGGGGAACCCTGGTATAAGACTTTACACTTTGGGCTGTGGCAACATGTCAGGGCTGGTCCTCAGAGGCAACAGAGGAAGGCATCACCCTATATTGTATCTGCATCTTTGTCTTGAACTTGATTGAACTTAGCACCAAGTAAGACACGTGCTGGGAGATGTATAGAGGTGCTCAGAACTTCTGACACGTGAAGACCTAGGGGCCATTATAACACCACTAATGTGCTGGGGAACCCAGGAGAGCCTAACATGACTCATATTAAATAGCATCCTGGGTATTAGGTGGGCAGCAGTTGGCAAGGTCTGACCTGTGGCCTACTTTTGTATGATGACATAGTCATTTAAAAAAATAAAAATTTGTATGTATTTATTTTATTTGTATATATTTGCATACATGTGTGTATGTATATGATGTGCATACCTGGTGCTCACAATGGTCAGCAGATAATGTCAGATCAGATTCCCTGGAACTGGAGTTACAGATGATTATGAACCACCATGTGGGTGCTGGGAACTAGACCCAGGTCCTCTGCAAGAGCAACAAGTGCTCTTAACTATAGAGTCATCTCTCCAGCCCCACAAACCATTCTCAAATGACCTTCAAACGACATCAAAAACAGAATGGGTGGGACTTCAGAGACGGCTCCGTAGACATTGTACTTGCTTTACAAACAGGGGGATCTCATTCAGATCTCCAGTAGCCATGGAAAAACCAGACATGGTAGCACATACTTGTGGCCCCAACACTGAGAAGTGACAAAAAGATCCCTAGTCTTGCTCTCCAACCCCTCTAGCCAGTCAATAAGCTCCAGGTTCAATGAGGGACTCTGTCTCAAAAACTAAGGTAGAGAGAGATGAAGGGAAAAGACCCAGCATTGATCTCTGGCCTGCACACATGCATTCCTATATACATGTGTACACATGTAAACAGCACACGCATAGGGAAGAAGAGGATATAGGACAGCACACCAGTTGGGCCCTCAAGCCTTAAGTACTTCTGTAACAATAAGTTCAGTGAAGCCTAGTGTATAATGTGTGGAGTTCAGCACAGTGTTGGGAGCCCACTCGACATTCTAGATGTTCAGCCTTCTCTTCTGGAAGATGAACACCATCCATGAGATGTGGCCCCCTCACTGTACTATGACAACCTGAGCAGATAAAGCACACCACCCGAAACACTGTCCTCAGAGGATCAGGGAAGAGAAGCCTGGGCTTTTGCCAGGCTTCTACACCAAACAGGCATGAAAGTCCTGGCTCTGGGCCTCATCTACCCAACCCTGAGTCTAGTTTCCTCAGAGTGAGTTCCCTTTGGCAGGAGAAGAGCATGCCAGCTGCCCATTGTGCTGTGTCCTGTGGCGAGGTCAGCACTGTCTTCATCCCACCCCCACCCCTGCTTCCCACCTCACCCCTGCTGAGGTCAGCTGCCCTTCTCATCAGGGCCAGGCACTTGGCCCATGCAAGGTGCTAAACTGGGCCCTAAGATTCTGGGTTCTACCATCCTCCCTCCTGGCCCTAAGGTTCTGGGCTCTACCATCCTCCCTCCTGGCCCTAAGGCTCTGGGCTCTACCATCCTCCCTCCTGGCCCTAAGGTTCTGGGCTCTACCATCCTGCTGCTTCCTTCTTCCCTGCTCCTCTTTCCTGCTGCTGATCAGCCTTCAGAAGTTCCTGCTCAACCATAGGGAGGAGGGGAAACCACTATTTCTGCATGTGTTTCCTTATCTTGCCAGCCACCAGAAGACATATATTTCCCCAGATTTGAGCCCCTGGCCAGCAGTACCTCCCTCTCACGAAAGTGAAGCCCTAAGGGCAATCCGCTTAGACCCAGCTGGCCTCCCTCTCTTGAAACAGTGGTCTGTAAAACAAACTTTAGCTGTATAATCACATAATTGTAAAGATTTAAACATTTGGGTTGTGGGAAAATCAGGAGGATTTTCTGATAAAGGTGGCTTTCAGTTTGCACACACTGCCGAAGAAACTTTATAAAAGGCCACACTGAATGTGCTGGGTGTGATGGCACACCTGCACACCCAGAACTTGGTGGGTGGAAGCAGGAGGGTGCAGATTCAAGATTATCCTTGGCTATATAGTAAGTTAGATGCCAGCCTAAACTTCATGAGACCCTGACCTCCCCCTCCCAATCAGTCATAAATACATCTCTATTGAAAGATCTAAAACAAAATTTTAAGTCAAACTGAAAAAAAAAAAACCCAGGTCATTTAGCTTTTGTATTTGAACACTTAAATGTTTTTATATTACCTAAGGTGAGGAGGGGGATTATAGGAAACAGTATATGAAAGAGGGAAGAAAAGTTTCCAGGAAGCATAGGGTGATATGTAACAGTGAGATACCATTTTGTATTCAAATTGAAAAAGATTCTTAAAACCCATGATGTAATGAACACTAGTGATGTGGGAGGGGGCAGAGATGCCCATAGATCACCAAAGCCATTTTCAGGCAGCTTCTCTGAAGAGTGTCCTGGCAGTCCTGAGACAGTCCTCGGGAGTCTCCAAGATGGCAGTACCCACTGACTGGGAATACCCGTCCTACAAATCTAATTTGAAAAGGTGATTAGAGGGAGTGACAAAGATTCATGCTTAGAGGTGCTCATGCAACGCTGTAGGAAAATGGAAAATTAGAAACAACCTGAGCATCTGATAATGGCCGGCATGTTAAGTAAATTATTTAATCTTCATCATGTGCAATTAGGCAGCCACTATAAATAAATTGCATAGCAAAGGACTTCATAAACAAAATAGGGTAACACACCCCATACTTGGTAGAAGACACTGGCAGTGTGTAGAATCAGATGGAAATGTATGAAGTCATCGAGAAAGAGGCAAAAAACAAGAAGGCTGAGAACGTAAGTATGTGATTTGTCTCAGAGTCATAAGGCAGCGCTCACTCCTGTTAGCAGGAATGCAAGCTAAATGGATGCACTCACCAGCACAGCAGTAGTCTGCAGGGAGATACGGAGGAGCAGGTCCGTATTCATAGTGGTGGGAGTGCACCTACTTCGATGAACTCTGTTGCCTATACTTAGTAAAATTAAATGTGACTCCCCTCCCCCCCATGACTTGTATAAGCTTCTGGGGATCACCCTGCACAGACATCATTTTCTACAAGGAAACATGTTCAATAGTCATATTGGTGATGTTGTATAATACCATAATATGTCACGCATTGGTGTGTATAGCCCAGCGGCAACAATGATTACTAAAAAACTGGCTGTCCTAAGAACATGGCTAAGTGGAATATGACTTTACATAATGAGAGGCTATTAATGCGCTAGGTTGAAGAAGTACTGGCTCAGATAAGTGTCTAAAGCAATGTCAAATGTAAAGAATAGGTCGTATAAAAGGTATGTATCAGCAACATGCGTTCATAATTCTTTAAAATAAACAGATTAGTACATAGTATTTAAGAGCATGCATGTACATCTAAATATATGTGTATAAAAGTGTGGACACCAGCTTCAATACAGTGGTTACTGCTGCAGGGAGAGGGCCCAGAAGGAGGTCAAACTTAAATGTTTTCTGAGTTGTTTGTTTGTTTGATTGATTTTAAGGAAAGGATTGAAGTACAAATTGGTAACTGAAGTTTTGAACTTAGATTAGGATATTGTACATTGGTTTCCATGCTTTTATGCATATTAAGGTATTTCAAAATTTCAAGTAGTTGTAGGCAGGGAGGTTGAAACAATGTCTTTCTGTGCAGCCTAAGCTGGTGTGGGACTCAGCGCCTCCTGCCTCCGTGTCTCAAGAGCCGGGGTTATGAGTGAATAACATGAGAGTCTATGGGAAGTAGCCGTGGCCCAAGTGAGAAGCTGTAGCCCGAGCCAGAGTAGTGGCAGCAGAGATGGAGGGACACAGGAGAGACTGGAGCTGTTCTTGGTGGGGGAATTAGTAGGGCTCAGTAACTGGTCACATGTTGGGGTGATGGTGGAAAGCCAGGATTAGAGCATGAAGAGCTGTGGAACAATGGGGTACACTGACTTGAGGTGGGGGTAGGTAAGGTGGGCCTTGAACATACCCTGTTAATGGCCACAAGCTTCGGGTGTTATGGTGATATCTGTGCCCTCTCTCCCACAGGTGACAAGTGTTGTGCCTGGGGCTGGAACGAACATGGCATGTGTGGGGATGGCACTGAGTCCAATGTCTGGACACCATCTCCAGTGCAGGCTCTCCAGTCAGCAAGACTCCTCCTTGTGGGCTGTGGGGCTGGCCACTCCTTGGCCTTATGTCAGCTGCCAGCACACCTTGTGCCATGCCAGGATCTCAAGGTCACCTACCCACTCCAAACTGCCACAGAGAACACTGCCATGGACAAAGAGAAACTGGAAGGATAGACGATCGGGAACTTCAACCCAGAGCAGTTCTGACAAGATGAGCCATGCGTGTCCATGAGAGAGCACCTGTAATAAAGTGACTGATCCCAACAGAGATCCCTGGAGAATCTTTCTGTCAGTCAGCTCGAGAGGGACTCAGTAAGTCTGATGGCTGGGCAGAACCACAGACCAGAGCAGTGAGCAGGTGCTGGCCCACTGCTCAAAGAGGACCGAGCTGTGGAGACAACATCTTTTCTCCTCAGAGATGCAAATGAGGGAGGGAATCCTCACTAAAGGACTTACAAAGTGAAAACATCAGCCAGGAAGGCTCCAGCCCCTGAGTGATCACAGCCCAGCTCCATGGCTGTGCTCTGGTCCAGTGGCCTTCGGTCAGAAGATGGGGCTTCTAGGATATGTTTAGAGCAGTGTACTATCCCTTCTAATTTGGGGACTTATTTTTCTGTCCAGAGTCCATTGCTTCTGGTACCAGGTACTGTGTCTGGAGACTCCAAAAAGAAGGCACTCACATCTTCATGACCAGGGCCCCAGCAAAGGCTTAGGGTCGGGTGGGGAGAATGAAATGAGGAAGTGGAGAGTATGCAAGGCTTCTGGGAAGACCCAGCAGAGAAAATCCCAAGTGCAGACAGGGTGTCTGGAGCCAGGGAAACTCAGAAAATGGATAAGTCTTCCTCCAACCAGGCAGGATTCTGGGACTGCTGTAGCAGGTGAGCTGTTTAGTCTCTGAGTTGGGATGCCTGGACTCTACTGGACATTAAAGCTGGGGGACCCTCCATCAACATATAGGTGAGAGGCCTCTAAAGTATATCCTGCAGAGTCTGGCATGGTGGCACATGCCTTTAATGCCAGCACAGCACTTTAATGCCAGAGCTAGGTACATCTCCATGAGTTTAAAGCCAGCCTGGTGTACATAGTGTGTTACAGAGTGAGACCTGTTCAGAGCCTTGGGCATCTCCTTGTAGACAGAGTACCACTTCCAGGTTCCTTTAGGCAGTGTTAATTTTGTCTTTATAGTATGTATTGTGAGCTGTATAAGATTATATTTGATAAGTGGGTCCTTAAGAAATTGAAGAAACTGCTGATCCTATTCAACCATTCTTGTTTTTCATCAGGAGAAAATGGTGGCTATAAAAAGGAAGAAGGGTCATCTCAAGGTCACGTACCTCACTGCTGGTCCAGGGTGACCTAGCCAGAGCCCTGAGCTAGGCAAGAGTGGATAGGAAGTAGCTAAATGACTAGAAGTGAGTTCTGCTCAGAAAATATGAAGTCAGTTCCAGACTCCACTGGCCTGAGCCTAGGCACCGCTTGCAGCTATAGTCTGACCTACAACCCAGTAATTCAGGTCTTGCTCCTGACTTTTGGCCCAAGAACTATGCCCTATTCCATACAACCCCATCTCCCAGGCCCAGAGGCCCGTTGCAACATTTGTACTCTGATATGCTCAAGCCCACAGAAATGGAGCCATCACCCAGGGGTAAGCCATACTGGAACAAGCTCAAGGACTGTCTTATAGGCTGAATAGTTGGCAAAAAACAGTCGAGAAAACATTCTGCTGTGACCCATACTGCCTCCAGTTTCCAGTCACAAGAAACAACACCGTCTTGCCCAGAAGCCCACAAGGCAGAGCTCGCTCCTCTCTTTCAGCGCTACTGGAAAAGCTCAGTGCCCTGCGCTTGTGCTGCTGGAACCCAGCGCCTTATTTACATGAGGCAGCAGCATCTTTGCGTCCTGAATAGGATCAGCACATCATCCCTAAGTCCTTTGATCTCTAACCTCAGATGCTGACAAGTGTGTCCGAGCCTCAGTCACTCCCATCCTGCACTTCCTGATGGTGGTGTGGCCGGAGGCCCTTCTTACTTCACTGCCTATCTCCAATGAGGGAAAGCACTTATCAGAGATGAGGAAGGACGTGTCTAGATTTTTCCTCTGCATCCTCTGGTGGCTATTTGTCTTTCTAAGACTTTGTCCAAGTTCCCTTTCCTGGCATTCCATGAGGGAGCCAGCTCCTAGTCAGTTTAGAACTTAGCAAACTGAAAATGAATGATCTTCTCAGTGTCCCTGTGGGTCACCACGGAGTGGGGAGGTTAACTGAGCAAGCTTTGAGATCCCACCCTTCTCCGCCCTCCACTTTATTACTCTGTTTACAGCTCTCTGCGAAACAGTCTCCAGGTCCCACAGCCATTTGATAGTTCCACTTCACCTGCTGTGTTAGGGGCGTAGGAGCTTACTTGAATAAGAGCTCATTTAAAAAAAAAATACATTTTCTTGATTGACTAAATAAATTCTGCCCCTCATGAGAAGGATGAACGGCCCCATTGTGCGCTTGCAGGCCTTTGACCGGGCCCTGGAGTAAGTGTTGAAGACCCAGTATGCAACAGCTTTGCCATCCCTACTTCCCACACCCACAATTTCCTCTGGTCATGGATACCCACCTTCCCTTGACACATCTGCCATCTTTAGCCATACTGTGTCCCCACATGCCTGTGAAGTCCATTAAAATAACTTCGGATGGTGGGCTGGCTAGTCTTATGTCAACTTGACACTAGCTAGAGTCACCTGAGAGGAGGGAACCTCAGCTGAGAAAATGTCTCCATAAGATTGAGTTGCAGGCAAGCCCATAGGATATTTTCTTAATTAGTGACTGATGAGGGAGGGTCCAGTGCATTGTGGGTAGGACCACCTCTGGACTGGTGGGTTCTATCAGGAAGGAGGCTATGCAAGCCATGGAGAACAAGCCAGTAAGCAGCACCCCCTTCTCGGCATCTGAATCTGCTCCTGCCTCCAGGATCCTGCCCTGTTTGAGTTCCTGCTCTGATTTCCTCCAAAGATAGACTATGGTGTGGAAGTGTAAGCTGAATTAAAAACCCTTTCCTCCCCGACTTGCTTTTGGTCATAGTGTTTTATCATAGCAATAGAAACCCTAACTAAGACAGGTGGCACATGCTTGGGGACACTCTGGATGAAGTGACTTGGTGCTCAGTTAGCTGTGGGAGTTAGTGCGGAGGAGCTGCAGGTAGTGTCAGACTGCCGAGTATGGCTGCTGCTAGTCCAGAGCTGCCTCACTGCAGCACATGGTGGGCAGAGGCGAGGGCAGGCGGGGGGGGGGGGGGCCACTGCTGGCCTAGAAAACCAGCTGAGGCAGGCAGTGTGAGCATCGTCCATTAGGGTAGCAGGGTGTTTCGGCAAGAGTGAGCTGGCCAGCTGTGGATTGGGAGAGATCTGAATCAGAACATGAAGTGGCCCCTTCTGTCACATCTATGGCATTCCATGAAGGAGGGCAGGAGGCCAGATCCAAAGAGTCCTAGATTCAGTACCCATAACTTCAGTATTTCACCAGCAAGGACCAGCCCCACAAAGTCCTTAGCTCAAAACAGCCCAACCTGAACTCTGGAGTCAAACCACCCAGGTTATGATCTTGACTTCAGCTTAGCTGGGATATGTGGCTTTGGGCCAGTTGTTTTCTCTGTCTGCGCTTTGTTATCTCGGCTGTAATATGGGGTGATTAGGCTGTTCTGAGCTGGCGTTAGGCAATGTTTGTAAGATGCCCCTACACAGTAGATCCTCTCTAGCTGTGGTGTTCCTAAGCCTATATTGCAGATGACTTTGTGTTATTCAGCAAAGCCCCATCTTCCTAGCAGATCTCTGACCCATGTCGACACTGGTCTTGGGCTGCTTCACTGGGGTATCCTGAGACTTGGCTATGAGATGACTGGGTCTCTAGAGGCTCCACCAACCCCAGCCCCTGGGTTCCTGCACTGGGTACCAGGAAGTTGAGATAAGCTTTTAGAGAGGTGAGAAGCTAGTAGGTAAAACTTTGTCCTACCCATCCATGGGCTCACAGACTCTGGCTGTGCTGGGAGGTGACATCTTTATGCTGATGGCCATGAGCAGCTTGCTGCCTTCTCTGGCCTCATCTTCAGATGCTCAGGAGCTGACTGTATAACCTCTGGAGTCTCTTTCCATATGAGCATTGGGAATTCTAACGGATGAGGAAAAATCAGATCTTCCATTCCACCCCACACCCAAACCTGCAAGTGAGTATCCCCAGAGCAGATGGTACTCTTTCCAAGGTGTGTCCAGACTGAGAGGAGTATTCGATGAGGTAGTCTCTAGACCAGGCCCTGCAAGTTGGCAAGGGCACCCAGACCTGACAGACCCAACGGTAGTCCTAGCAGGGAGGTGCTCATGGCTGCACAGGATCTACAAGATGAGTCATAAAACCATCCCAGGTGAGCCCCACAGAGGATGTGCTTTTGTCCCTTAGCCCAACAGTATCTGCAGCCCTACCCTGCAGGGAACAGCATCCTCAAAGCCCAGCGACACCTCAGCTTAGATGTCTACAGTAGTAGTCAGGCCCATGATTGGCTCAGTCGTACCAGAACAGAATGGAGATCTGCCTGAAGGCAATAAAAACTCAAGTCAGTGCTTCATCTCAGAAGTCAGGTTTTTATTTCCAGGGCCAGGGCCCGGGGAGGGGAGGTTGCTGTCTTTCCAGGAAATGTTGCAGTGGAAACTCGAGATGTTGCATTTTTTTTCAACTTGAGCATGTGTTTTTCAAAAATATCATCCTTTCCCCCACACACACTAATTTTAGAATCAGACCAAAGCCAAGCTACTGTCCTCTGTTTCTGTTGGGAAAATACTATATTTATTCAAGATGCAGAAGTGCGTCTCTGCAAACCTCCGATTGCTTCAGAAAAACAAATCTGCTTTAGACTAGACAGAAACCATGTTACAAAATTTATTTCATGCTCGAATCTCTTTGCATAACATTGGGCATGCAGTTTTTGTTTGGTTTTTTTTTTTTTACGTTGAAGTACTAAATTGCATACAGTGCCAGGTTATGCCTTAGCAAAGGTGGAGAGGAGGTGCTCCTCAGGTGGTCCTGAACTGGAGGTACTCTACATCCTGGTTTTAAAATGACATTGGAAAATCCATATGCTGTAACTATGAACAATTCATTATGAAACTTGGTTACACTGGATCTACACACTGAGATGAGAATCAACCTAAACTAGCCGCTTGTCGGGGTCTTGGGGAGACGTCCGCTGAGTCACAAGCATGCCAGAGATGGAAGAGAGCGGCAATGTGAGTTCCCACAGTTCTATTCGGAGCAAAGTTCTCTGTTTTCCACGTGAGAGTTGAGCTACGAAGGTGAGGTCAATGTGACCAATGACTGACTACCTTTTTGAAACCTTTCCTCTGGGTCTTGTGTACAAACAGCAATCCATTCCCCGGCCCCATCCTTCTTCCTTGTCCCCCCACTCCCAGAAATGTACAGATTTCTACCAAGCGCCATTACAGTTTGGCTCCGACTCCATGTGTCAAAATAAAGAGCGCTGAAAGAAAGGACCCTTGACTTCTCTCCATTCTTGGTGGTGGTGAGGGTAATCATACAGTCACAGCAGGAGCTGGTGGGTTTGGTTTAGCTGGGTTTTCTGTTTAACTTCATGCAAGTCATGCTAAGGCTTCCCTTCACCCCCCTCCCCAAAGAAAAGGTAACTTCTAAGAAAAATGAAAAGAAAGAAGGGCGATCCTCTACGGTCAGTTACCAATGGCCGTAGAAAAAGCTACGTCCGTCTTAGTACAATGCCTGGGCCACTCGGACTCGTCCGGCAAACCTGCATGGCGTGAATTTACTCTGTCCGAGGGTGAGGAGGGGCTGCAGGTCCACCCAGATGCTTAATAGCCACCAGTGTCCTCGGCCAAGCCGCCTGGTCAAGTCACTCTCACAGCCTCTGTCGGCATATACTTAGCAATGACAGGGCTTTCTTTGCAAAGATCTGTATGTAGAGAATACAATTAACACTTGAGCTCCTCTTCGTGCCTTCCCCTCCCGCTCGGTACTTAGTTGTTAAGGAAGGAGGAGGAAAGACTGAACAGCCGCATGCAGAGGCAGGCAGGTTCTTCTCCAGCTGGCTTGTTTCCCATGCAGCGAACCAGCCTAGCAGCCTCTTTCTCTTCCCTCCTTGGGGGGACAAGTGAAGTCCCTACTTCTGCTCTGGACCTGCAGACCTAAAGGGCTCTGAATCAGCCAGAGCAAAGCAAATTCTCGTTGCTCTCAGGAGCCATGAGAGCCGGGCTGGGTGAACGTGTGTAGGGCCTTCACCCTTGGTGCCTCCCAAAGAGTCCAGCATCCGAACCCAGGTGGGTTCTGAGACTGGGGATTGCCAATGGATGGGAGTTGCACTCAACTCCCTAGCACTACTAGGAAATTGGGTGCTTCTAGAAGCACAGTAGAGACACTCTGTTCTCTTAGGCCACACCAACCGATCCAGTATCCAAGACAAAGGAGCCAGGCAGCCCGTGGGGCTTTACTGGGCAGGGCACAGCAATGGAGATAATTTCCCCCTTATTCTTCGGGGTAGCCCTGCTCCTTAGCATTCTAGAGGCTTTACCTGGAAAAAAGCCAGTTGCAAAGAGAGCAGCGGACCCATCCATGTCAAGGATGGGGCCCTTCTCAAGACTGGTAGCCCTCTGCCATGCAGCATCATGCAGGGAGTGGCACACCGCACTGAGGTCCAGGGGACCTCAGGCAGGGCAAACAAGCAGAGACCAGCCTGAATCAGGTGGGCATAACTAAGCAATCGTGCGCAACCCAAAGAACTTTCCCTCGTCTTGGTGTATGCTGCCTCTCCCTCCTCTCCTAGGTCTGCCTTTGATCCTTGAAGTCGTCTGTCTTCTCCTTGTGTCTGGTTTAACTGTTTCCAACACTAGTACGGTTGACAAAGGCCACAGACTATATACCAGTTGTTACTCTCAAGAATCTGGCTCCTGTCTGCCCTACCCTGCTTGCTGTCAGCATGTATCTGTGTGAGCATTTGAGGCACAAAGATACGTGCATGTGCTTCCCAGCTAGTCTGCTGTACTAAGAAAGGCCCAGGCCAGTGCCTGTAGCCCTATGTGGACTGTCCTAAGCTCCTCCCCAGCACTCAGCCCAGCCCATGCTAAACCTCTCCAAATCCTGACTGCAAGAACACCACTGTCTCAGCCTTCACCAGTCACAAAGGGGCACTGACTACCCATGGGTCCGTGGAAATGTGCTCTGGCTATGGAAAGGGCTATACAAAGCCCCATTGATATACCTTGTCTTGGTAGGTTTTCTGTTTCTCATCTTCAGTATTCTGACTGTCACACAGCTTACCTCTACAAGGAGAGTGGCCTTATCCCCCAACTCCAAAGCTACCTCTCTATGAGGCCTTCCTTTCCACTGGCCTGCAGATTCTCTTTAAAGAACTTCTTCCATAGCACAACCTGAAGACTAAACTCACAGGGTGGTGGCCAAGCCCTCTACAACTACAGGCTAGGAAAGAACACTCTGCCATTTGGATTTGCTTTACTGCACAAGAGAACTCTGGAGGGACTGAGACTCCTCCTGTCTCCTTAGGTACCCCCTTGGCTTGGGTTTACAGCCCATGGTCATCCACCCTGTGCCAAGCCCCTTTCTACCATTTATCTAATACCAACCTACAGCTAGCTACCTGGGCCTCAGCCTCGCTCTGCCAACCTGGCATCCCCTTCTGGAAAGGACTCTGACCTTTAGATGCCAACCTTGGGGGACTCTCTCCATCCTTGCCCCCTTAGTGTGCCTGCCTACCCCTCAGCACCCCTTGCCCGCCTCCCTGCCCACCCTTCTGCAGGAGCGCAAGGCGGGCCCAGCCAATGCAAAGAGCTCCAGCTTCCTCTACATACCCTTTCTCATTCCTCCACCAGGTGGGCACGCGTACTCCCCAGTTGATAAGAGGAAGCAGGGTCCGTATCTCTCGCGGGTGCCCGAGCGGGTAAAGGGCAGGCCCTCATCGGGAGTGAGGGCCTGGTCTATGTGGGGGCAGTCTTCGTTCGCCAGCGCGGCCTTCGCCACCTCCCCATTCAGTTTGGAATCTTCAAACATATAAGCAGAAGCTATTGAGACACTGAAAACTGTTTAGTGAGAGGGGGTGACAGGCCGAAGGGAGGGCATTTGACAAAGAACTCCCGATCCTGAGGATGGAAGGGGGCAGTCCATCGGGACAGTGCGCGGCTGGGGCGGACTGCTGACAGTGCAGGAAGGAAGAGACTCCTGGGTTTGCTCAAAGTTTGCAAAAAGATGAATTGGTGATGAACCTAGCAGGTGGGCCCAAGGCAAGGTAATGAAACAGGATGATGTGATGTATTCATGGGGAGAGGGTCAGACACACAGCTCAGGGAGAAGACAGACACTCCGAAAGGCCCCAGTCCAGAAAGGTAACCTTTCAGACCCCTTCACTTCCAACCAGCCTTTGGCTGTCTCCCAGCAACATTCGCCCTTGGCCCAGCTGGACACCATTTGACCTCCCTCATGCCTACTCATGCCGATCCCATTGTAGCATTTGGTTCCTGCCATGTCCCCAAGTCTGATCACTCGGCTTGCTCCCACCACTCCATTTGGACCCAACTCATCCATCAAGGTGCCCTAGCCTTCTTCTCTGTCCCCACGGGACCAAATCTGGTGCCTCTATAACTTTACCCATACAGACTAGGCCTGCTCACACCTTCTTTCCTGTATGCATAGGGACAGTCTGGTCCCTCAGATTCCCCATCCCCTCAACAGGCTTGCCTGGACACATATTTACAGTCTCCCGATTTTACCATGTTGTGCCCCATAGGAACTAAACTGGCCATACCTCTATTTTGTCCTCACAGGAATCTGATCTGTTCTCTCTGAGACTGTCCTCTACACAGATTAAGCCTGATCACGCCTTCTACACTGTTCATACAGGTGCCTCTGAAATCAGATGCCTCTGAAACTACGTCCTATACAGAGATAAGAGCTAGCCACACCTGCACTGTCTCTACAAAGACCCAATCAGGTCACTTCAGTTTCCCGTTCCTCATACTGACTAGGCCTGGTTACACATTTCACCGCCCTTCTAAGGACCCAATCTGATCGATCTACTTCATCTCTCCATGTGGATTAATTTCTTGTGTACCCTCACAGACCCAATTAGACCACTCCATCTGCTCTGTCCCCATGCAGACCTACACTATGCCCACACATATCAAGCAGTGTCTCCACAGACCCCTCCAGGGGACCCGGTCAGTTTGCACAACAAAGATATGCGCATATGCATGAGGCCATGATAGCTGGACAGGGATGTGGGAGGGGTTCCCATTGCTGTCCCTTCTGCCAGCATTCATTCCTGGCAAAGCAGAGCAAATGGGTGTGCAGGAGGCAACAGATGCTGATGGCCTTGGGTGGGGGGAAATTTGAGGCTTGGCCTCTGTAGCGGCCTAAGGAGAAACCTGGGAGAGAGTCTCAGGGGGACATGTATGGTGGAAGGCAAAATGTGGCCACAGCCAGGCACCCTGGCCCTCTTAACTTCACAGATTTGGAGGCCTTCAGCAAATGGCAGAGGTGACTCTGAATGACCTTTGTCCCCCATCTCTGTCCCTCTTGGGGACTCTGCTAGAGTGAAGCCCACTCAAATGCTGCACTTGGGGGAAGCCTCATATGAGAGCCTGTTGGTGAAGGAAGGAAACCAACCTGGGAATAATATGTTAGGGGTGGCTCTCTGAAGGAAAGCTAGGGGGATTCCCCCTGGATTTGACCCTCTCCCATGATCCTGTTCACATCACGTAACTACACGCAGGAGTGATCCTTCCCTGCGTGCACACACGTGGCGTGCACGTGGGTGGGATCACCACCCGTGTACGTCATGTCACTACAAAGAGGCAGTCAGTCAAAAGAGAAATGGACCAATCAGGTTTATTCATAAAGCAAATCCAAAAAAAAAGTTTCCCATCATAATTTTGGAACTTAAAAAAGTCTGTCATACAAGATGGCAAGGCATTTCACGTACAGTGCATTCCTTGAAGATCCCAGGGCCTTCACTCCTGATTGACTCGGAACCAGAAAGGCCAGTTCCTAGGGAAACTCTGGCACCATGTGACAAGCTGGGGGCTGCCTAGCAGTGGAGCGTGTCTGTGGGCACACACATGTGCCTACGGACATGCATATCCTCCCTTACATTCCATTTGGCTCTTGTCTCCCTCATGGAGGCTCTGTGGGCTGGAAGGCAATGTTGGGGCGATAGGGGAGGTGGTATGATGAGGAAGGGGGTTGGAAGCTGGGGTCCATGTGCCTCGAATGACTTTTTCTTCAGGGGAACATTAGTGGCTTCCAAGTGCATCTTCTCCAGCTGGCAAAGATGCTCTTGAGTGGGCGTCCACAGCCTGCTCTTCTTGTCCAGGAAAGGGTCAAATAGTGACTATTCCTTTCTGCCTCTGCCTCCATAGAGACAGTGCAGCCTGAGACCCCTCCTCTGGCGCTGAGTCTCTGCCTACACGTCCCCTACCCCTGGGCTCCCACCTTGAATTGTAAAAGATTTGAAAGTGGAACAGATCCTCGGTTGCGGGGGCAAGGAACAGCCATCCAGAATCTAAGGGGACAAAATGATGGGCAGTTTCCAGGATGTCCCTGGAGCCTGCTTTTTCTTTCAGCCCCAACCTTTGGAAAGGGATCTATGGCTGAATGGCTGTTGTTTTACCTGCAGTTGAAGATGCTGTTCAGCAAGTGGGCCATTCTCCAGCTCCCAAACTTCAGTGCGGATGGCCAGAAAATAACTAAAGGGGCCAATTGTCTAAACCTGAGGAACCACGAGAAAGGCCACGGGTACAAGGTCACTGAGTCCCCACCCACCTGTTCGTCTCTCCTGGAATGAAAGGGCAGCTAGCAGCCTAGGTTCCCACTTGCTTTCAGAGACCTGGGTCTGCTCCCTTGGCCCAGGACTCCAGAATGCCACTACCCCACAGGCCTGCGATGATGAAATGACAGCATGGCAGCGTCTCAGAGATGATTTCAAGGCTTTGAAATGAACTGAGATGAACATCTGTGACAGGGTCATTTTTTTTAAAACTTTGGAGCAAGGAGAACCTACATGACCAGGCCCTCTGTCAGCAGGCCTGCTTTTCTGCCATCTCCAGACACTTCTGACGTACTTACTGTTCACATCAGCAGCGGGCACCACCAGGCGCACGCAGGACTGGACAAGGGTTAGTTGGGCTGGGCATTGCCTTGGGTTTGCCCCAGAGGGGTCTGCTCAGCTGGGACTCAGGGGAAACATCTCAGGCTAAAGGGGGACAAGCTGTGAGAGACAGTCGTGGGGACCACCACACTCAGTCAACAAAACAAGAGAGAAAGACATGATTAGCGGAGAGGGGGAGGGGATGTGAACAACACAGAAAAGAGCGCTAGTGCCGGCCATTCAAAGTCATCTCATTTCTTCTCAGATCTCCTTTCACCCACTTGGGCAGTGTGGACTCCACTCCGGGTCCCAGCTGCCAGCTCTGCAGCTGGATTCTCTTCAACCCCCCTATCTTGCCCCCATCAATTCTGTCCCCAAAACTGCCACCCTCCCTCCCTCGAGGTCTAGCCCTAGTCCCAAGCAAGTGCTATAGCCCGAGAGAGGGCAGCTGGAGGGCCCAAAGAGAGGGGACTTTAGATTCTGATGCTCAGAAAAGAAGCTCTCCCTGCAAAGAACACCCTGAAGCTGCAGCGGTAGCTCCGGGGGGGGGGGGGGGGGTGTCTCCAAAACATCACTTTGACTCCACATACTCCCAAGCAATAGGGAACCAGACCTGGCCACCTGCATTCCCCCCTTACCCCTTATGCTGGGACCCTAGAACCCTGGACTCCACACCACAAAGGACTGACCCACACCACAGGAGCAGACACGGTAAGACACACAAGAATGGACATGGCAGGACAGGGGACAACAGACATTCCAAGCTGCCCAGAGCAAGTGGTTGACCCCACTGTAAATGGGGAAGGGAGCCCTTCCCAGAAGAAAGGCAGCTTCTCCAGGGAGCTCAGTCCCAGACACTCCCTCCCTGTGCCTCCCATGACCAGGTGAGATCTGAATCCTTGGAGCCCCTCAGGGAAGATCCCACAAATACTGAGACCATTCAAATCATGGCCCAAAGAAAGAGATCACCATGCCCCTGGGACAGACAAACTGTGACTTCAGCAGTGACTGAGATGTGGAGGTGAGGGGAGAGCTGGAGGACTGGCTGTAGTGCGAAGCCCAGCATTCTGGTTCAGTCCCCGGCCCAAGAGTTAAAAATGGAAGTAGAGAAAACTCTGGGTAAGGGCCTGCTCGACCTTCTCTGCTGAAGGACCTCACAGACCTCATCTCCCACATCCCCATAAGGTCTGTCTCTACTCACCATGTGTGCCTTCTCGACCTCTGGCTTCTCCCCTCCTTTCTCACCTCCACCTCAAGCCCATCCAGATACATAGTTACCAGAAGAAAAGGGGTTGAATGAGAAGGGAGGTGTGGCACAGGGACGGCTAAAGACAAGCCCAGGAACCTCACATGGCCCTGACAATAGATAAGCCTGGTCTCACTAGTCTTTGAGGTGAGCAGGGTTCCAGTGAAAGATGAGGCTCTAGGTGGGACTAGAATCTTAGAACTGGAGGGCTGGGCTGAGCATCAGGACAGCACCAAACAGCAAGGGAAAGAGAGGGGAATAGTGTGTGTGTGGGGGGAAGGGACGGAACTTGAGCTTGGAGAGCAAGTCATAAGACTGCCCAAACCAGAGCTCTCTGTGTTCCTGAAACCTAGAGCCAGGGGCAAGATGCTCTCAGGGGCAGGGCTGAGGAACCCAGAGGAAACCTCACAGGAATTCACAGGCTCTGTGGATCTGCTGCAGCAACATGAGGAAAGAGCTAATATCCCTAAAACTAGCTGAATGTGTGTGTGTGTGTGTGTGTGTGTGTGTGTGTGTGTGTGTGCATGTGTGCCCTCAGTACATGGAAAATTATGTCACTGAGTGTGAAGAGCAATCTCTGCTTGGCTAGAATGAGCTGGGGGTCACCAGTGGGTTGACCTGGGGCTCCATGTCTAGAGCACCAAAACTGACTGACAGTGTTGGGGAAGATGAATCAGAAGGGTTGAGTAGGGTCATGTAATGCCCCTCTGGCTGAGCACTTCCTACCGGGGTGCACAGTGGGGCTGGAGGAGAAGGTAGGCCATCCAGAGCTGAGGAAACTGGCCTTGTTCCTGGGGTAAAATGCCTAGCTAACTCAAAACAAAAGGTTATGCCTGGAGCGTCCTATAAATGGAGACATGGCTAGACCAGGAGGTCTCTACCTCAGACCTCCTGCATTCCCTGCTCCAATCTAGAACATAAGTTACATTTTACTTATGTGCCTACAGCAGTCTCAGAAAGGAGAGGGCATGGAATTGGGTGAAAGGGCTGGAATAGCCATGGCCACATAAGTAGGCCATGGGACATTGCTCAGGTTGCTCCAGCCAGTAGGAGAAAGGACTTTGATGGGGAGGTGAATCAGATAGCACACAGCAGTGAAGGACATCAGTCACCCACTGAAGGAGGTCACCCACATGAAAGAGAGACTCTCACCTGAGGCTGTGCTAGCTGGCAGCCCCCTAGGAGACCCAGGCATGGGGTGCTCTCCGTAGACTAAATGAATCTAACAGCACACATCAACCTCACACTCACCAAGCGCCTCTTAGATCAGTGTCACCATTCTTCTCTGGGTCATCTGTTCCTTGGAGATCCCTGTGTTCTCAGAGTAGCCAATGGGATTCCATGGGTAGAGGTAGACTATGGGTTTTCATCTTCAGACCAGAGCCCCATGGTCAACTTTATGTGCTATGTGCAGGTTCTCATAAAACTGAGATAGTCCCATAATGAACCACTAGCCATGGAATATGAGAATATATCCCTCGGTGACTAGTATTGTTTTCCCCCACCCCCACCCCATCTCCCAGTGAATTCGTGGGTAAGCGGTTGGGATGTCTTGTATTGCTGCTGCTGCAGTCCCTTCTGCTAGATACGGGGACAACTCTCAGTGGTGGGAGGTTGTTGCTGGTCCCTAACGCTTTCATCTAAGCTGCCCGGGGTGTGGCCCCCCTCTAGTTCTTTGCTCACCAGCCTCTTCCATCAGAAGGTCATCAGAAACTCCCACTGGACCATCAGCCCAAACAGACAATGTGAAAGCCAGAGTCACTCAACAGATTCCTAAGATAAATGCTAAGCTCTAGAGTGGTGGCAGAGGATGAGTTGGTTTGGCATGCTATGGGGTAAGTAAGCTTGTCACAGAAGGCTAGGGGCAACTCCTAGCAAAGACCTGGAGCCAGGTAGCAGGAGTCTACTCAGCTATAGAGACAGGTTCTGCTCGGGCTGAGAATCCTGACTGCTGCCTTTGCAGGGTCCCGGCTGGCCAGATCTCGTGTACCACTCTGCCAGTCCACAGCCTGAAGGCATCCATGTTAAAGACCAAATCAAAGGCTGTGTGGTGTCTCTGAATCACACCCACTCCCTCCCTGCCCACCACAGGTCAGTAGCCTGTCAGAGGCTTATGCCTGACTCCTCCTGACCAAGCAGCAGCCTCTGGGCTCCTGCTAAGAGTCCTCAGTAAACGTCTGTGGGGGTCTCTTCAGAACTCATGAGACCAACCACGTCAACCTCCTTACCCAGAGCCACCAGTAAGGTTCCTCTAGTAAGCTCTTGACTTACGAATTTGGCCGCCAAGCATCTCCCTGGGGCCCCAGGCTCCACACCTCAAGATTGGGCACAGGGTCCTGGGTTGCCCACGGAACTAAGGAAGTAGTCTGACTGAATCTGGAATCATTGCTACAGGGGGCAGAAGTTAAAGGTCAGATCGACATGCCTCTAAGAGGTTTCCTACCTGCTCTGTTAATTTCTAAAATTTCTTCCTGGGCCAGCGGACATGTGTCACTCTGAGTACTGTGGTGAGGAGAGTTTACGACAGATTTACAGTAATTGGGAGATCCCAGCTGTGGTGCTCGTGGAATATGCTTCTTTTTTTTCTTTGGTAGTTTCTGCTTAGCCATGGCTAAAGAGTAGTACATCCCGAAATTGTTCACGATGACGGGCACCGGCATGGCAATGGTTAGTACTCCTGCCAGAGCACACAGCGCTCCCACCAACATACCAGACCACGTCTGAGGATACATGTCTCCATAGCCCAGTGTCGTCATGGTGACCACAGCCCACCAGAAGCCAATGGGAATATTTTTAAAGTGTGTGTGCTCGCTAGCGCTGGGATCATTGGGCTGCGCCCCTATCCTCTCAGCGTAGTAGATCATGGTGGCAAAGATGAGCACACCCAGGGCCAGGAAAATGATAAGCAGCAGGAACTCGTTGGTGCTGGCACGGAGCGTGTGGCCCAGGACCCGAAGGCCCACAAAATGGCGGGTCAGCTTGAAGATGCGCAGGATGCGTACGAAGCGGACGACTCGCAAGAAGCCCAGCACGTCCTTGGCAGCTTTAGAAGACAGGCCACTGAGGCCAACCTCCAGGTAGAAGGGGAGGATGGCCACAAAGTCAATGATATTGAGTGAGTTCTTGATGAACTCCACCTTGTTGGGACAGAAGACAACACGCATGAGGAACTCAAAGGTGAACCAGACCACACAGACGCCCTCGATGTAGGTGAGGAAGGCCTCGGTTTCTGCTTCCCGGTAGTATCGCACTTGGGTGCCATTTTGAACATTCTCAATCTCCGTCTTGTTCACGATGGGGTTGAACCGCTCATGGGTCTCCAGACAAAAGGTCGTGATGGAGACCAGGATGAAGAAGAGGGAGGCCAAGGCCACATACTGTGGGCGAGAAACACAGGTGTCAGAGTAAAGACTTCCCACTCAGAGTGGAGAAACCTGGAGTGTGTTGCGTTGGGCCCAGACACACCGCCACTTTAGGAGCAGGCCATGCACAGAGCTCCTTCAGCACAACCCTGGCCGACTTGCAATCCTAGCCTCCTCAGAGCCCCGAGGGGTAAGTGCTGCTGCTGAGCCAGGCCTACAAAGCCTGCATTCCTGTTCACCTCTTCTTCCTTTCCCCGCTGCCAGCCAAATCATAAGAGGGAAGGAGCCTGGCTACATTAGAATGAGCTGTCAATAAATACTCGGATGAGAAATAAAAACAAAAGAAAATAACCAAAAGCTTGTTGAGCCACTGAATTCTGAGGTGTCTGTCATGGCATTTAGCTACATTGACTGACACTGGGACCGAGGTGTGCAAAGAAACACAAGGAAATCGCTCTACTGGACCAGGGCCTTTGGGAAGCTGTGTCTATTTCCTTGACTCCAGTTCATTTACTTAAAGACACCCTCCCCTGCCCCGCAAGTGCCTTGGCCTTAGCTTGGGTTAACACTGGCACTCCTTCCCATCCCATGTGCTCTGGGAGGCCCAGAATTGCTAGGTTGGGTTAACCAAAACCCCGAGTCCTGGAGCCCAACCTGCCAAAGGATCTGGGCACCAAGAACTAAGGGGATCTTCCAGATCGTGTTCTGGGCATCAGCAAGGGGAGAGAAGAGTAGGAAAGACGGTGTTATAGATTGACAGCAGTCTCATGAGACAATGCCGCATGCTCCCTGAGCCCACAGACAGGAAGAGACCTGTATAAGCTGCTGGTCACAGCTGCTGGCATCCTGTTAGCTTAATGCAATGCAATTTTCAGAACCTTTTCTTACAGGCTACTATCAAATGCAATCCATTTGCATCCTTCCATGAACCGATGTCTCCTTTCCATCCATCCTTCTTCCGTCCTTGCTTCCTCCCTTCCTTCTGCTTTCCCTCCGTTTGCCCATTTATCCATCCTTTTGTCCATCCATGCACCCATCCACCTATCCACTCATTCTTCCCTCTGTCCTCTGCTCCACTCCTTCCTTATTTTTTCTTCCCTCCCTCCTTCCTTCTCCCCACCCATATACTGCTCACCATCATTTGGTTCACCCATCCAACATTTCTTCCCACCACGCTTCCCCAGACACCAGCTCTCAGGGAGCTCCCTGCTCAGTTAAGGAGGAGGACACACACAAAGACAGAATGAAGCAGCGGGTTGAAAGTATGTGTCCCTGCACCCTGTGAAGCCTTCGGGGCTGGAAAAAGCTGAGGGAAGCAGGATAGAAAAGAAGTCTTCTCAATCCAGGAAGCTCTTCTTTCCGGACCCAGCTCTTCCAGACCTGGGATGCGTGGAGGACAAAGCAGGAGAGCAAAGTGGAGGCAGGAAGAGCCATTTACCTTCAACCCCAGCTCAGCCGGAGGAGCAGCCCTTCCAAGGCACCATGCATTTTCATCTGCTCTACATTCGGATTCGGACTTCCTCTGGGTCTCTTCTTGGAACTTGGTCTTCACAGCTTAGATTCCCCAGGGGCAGGCCATGCTCCCCGTGCAATGACCCCTGCCATAGCCTTTTCCTCTGTATCCTCTCTCAACAGAACCACTGCTATCAAAGCTAGTTCTAGGCTTCCATCCCAGCCATACGGCTGCTGGTCCCAGAGCTGCTCATGCCAGCTACCACACTGCCCACGGGGAAAAACACCAGGATCACTGTGCCCTGGCTGCACTTGATCTCTCGGGGTCCCCACCCTACATGTACCCAACATTCTTGCCACATGTGCTTCCTCTGGTGGCTTTGCACCCGAGGGTGCTTCTTCCTGAGAGACTTCTGGCCATGAACACTGTGTTCATGCGTGATCTCATGCATCCTCATTGCCCCATTGATAGCCCTTCCCCTGGGGCGAGGCTCCCACTGGCAACAATGGTACTCAGGAGGCAGCCGGCCAAGGCTCTCCTCAAGGAATCTCTACACCCTCCCAGGGAGGCCATGAGTCTGTCTCCAGCAATGGCTCATTAGTGTTTGCAAAGGCTCATGAGAATAGCCCCGACAGGGCATTGATCTCCCAGGAGATCCGCAAACCGTCAGAGCCCGCCTCTCATTTGTCCCCTTGTGGTACTGATCTTCAGAGGGACAAGGAAGTCCAGAATAAGGCCAGGTCTTATTAAGATTAGCATAGAGAGGCTGAGGAGATGGTTGGCACAGCGCTTGCCATGCAGACGTGGATCCTGGTATTCGATCACCAGAACCCATGTTAAAAACAGAGCTGGACATGGAGAGATGGCTCAGCAGTTAAGATCACCCACTGCACTTTCGAGGGCTTAGGGTCAATTCCCAGAGCCTCCATGGTGGCTCACTTCTACATCTTCAGAATCCAGTGCCCCTCTTCTGGCCTCCACAGGCACCATGTATGCACATGCACGTACATGCATGCAGACAAACACTCATACACATAAAATACAAATAAAATAATCATTAAAAAGCAAGAAAAGGAAAGTGTCAAGTGTGGTGGCATGTGCTTGGAATCCCAGAGTTGAGGAGCAAAGCTAGGTGGATTTCTAGAACTTACTGACCAACCAGTGTAGTTGAATCTGTGAGCCTCAGGCCAAGTAAGAGATCGTGTCCCAAAAAAAAATAATAATAATAAGGGAATGAATTAAGGATGATACCAGAAATTAACACACACACACACACACACACACACACACACACATGCACGGACACACACAATTAGTACAGGAAAATCCGTGGTTATCCAGGCTCAAGGTGTAGCCTGGGCCTCATTGTACAAAGAATGGAGGATAGAGGATGGGAAGCAAGAACCAGACTGGAGCCAGACAGAAATACTCCATCCCCAGATAGAGCCGTGCTAGGCGCCCTGCACACCTGCTTTCTCAGCCTCCTGCCACAGGCAGGGTGAAGACTGGGGATCTGTGGAAGAAGCGAATTCTGGCTGGCTAAGATACTCCAGTGTTCTACTGAGCTCAGGGGCTAATAAGAGGGTGGCCAAGGCCCCGTCAAAGCCAAAATAACCCCTTCCTTTGCCCAACCCAAAGTTGGGAGGAGAGAAAAAAACTACCAAAGTTCGGGAACTGACTGTGTGCATTGTCTTGGTAGAACAGGTGGCCGTATCCCTACTGTGTCCAAAGGAAAGTCAGGAACAAAGAGGTTTGGGGACAAAAGTAAGGCTTCGAAGAGAGCAAGGGAGGTTAGACAGAAGTGCAGCGTTCTCTCAGACACTGAGCGCTCTCGCCACCACGCTGCCTGCACTTTGCTCACTGAGAAGCCAGCCTTGGATCAGACCTGGATGGTTCCATGTCGAGCATGGCCCCCACTTCCTAGACTCCCTAAGAGCAGACTGTGACCTTCCCTGAAACTGATGAAGGGCAGAGGCGACTAGAACCAGCTAGATGTGATCGTAGCCACACTCGAGTGGATCCTAGGTCTTGGAGTATGGACTCAGTAACTCTGGGGTAGAAGCAACCTTTTGAGGATGGACGAGTGATGAGAGTGTCTTTGGGTGGTCCAATCTGCGTCCTACCTAACCTGTAGCCTTGCTGAGCCCTGGTAGACAAGACCTCACAGATTTCAAAACACAGTTAAGAGGGAGAGGGGCATGGTGTCACTGGCCCCGACAGGGAGGCAAACTCTGCCTGAAAGGCCTAGGGCAGCAAATTCCAGAGCACTGCTGGGGTTGTCACCCACAGCACAAGCACTGGGGTCTGTGCTCTATGTGAATTGTGTGCCAACAGCCACCCACAGACCACAGACTCAATAACCCAGAATAAACACCTAACCTTTGTTCTAAGCTCAGACACAAACGCATAGGCATACAGAATACAGCTCGGTGCCTGGACCACATAAAGGATGTGAGCAACCCACAGAAACCTTAACAAGACATGTCACCTCATCCCAACCAGCCACACTCTGGTAGTGTCACACAAACAACTCATGTGTACACACCCAGAGCAGCACGTGGAGAGAGCGGTGACAGGACCGCGCAGCATACAACCTCCTCCCTGCCTCTCTCCAGGAACACACACAGACTGCAGGCACTTGGGCCCAGCTGCTCTGCTTCTGGTGCCCTTCCTCCCTCTCCCCGTTTTTCCCCGCTCTACCCTTTACCCCTTCTGGTCCCCACTAGGGGGCTACTGACTTTCCCACAGCCCTGGCAGCTCAAGCCTGCCTGGCCTCTCTGCCCCCTCAGCCTTCCCTGCCGCCCTCACACTGCCATTCCTGTGATGCTTGTTCCTTTTTCCAGCCCATCCCGGAGCGGCTGAGTCCCTCCATATCCAGGACCAGGTCAGCTGACCCCTCCTGGGACTATGACCTGAGGACGAAGAGCTCTGTCAGGCAGCCCAGAGGTGGCTGCCTCAGCCTGACGAGCGCAGCAGCTGCCTTGTCGAATTTAGGGCGCTCAGCTGTGATGACTTGATGCTGCTACACAAACACAAGCTGGTAGTTTCTGCCTCTTTTTATTTTATTTTATTTTTCCAGAACCAAATCACAAACCATGAGACCCACCAATTGTGTTCTAGAAAGTGGTAGCCATAGCAACAGAGCAAGGCATCCCATTTCTATGGTAACCAGGGTGGTAAGGCTGCTGGCTGTAAAGTCAGACAAACCTACTAGGAATCTGTTGACTTAAGACGTTTTATAAATCAGCAAGTTATTTTTATCACAGCCACGCCCCTGGGAACACAAATCAGAAAGGCGCCCTACTATCTATTAAAATGACCGGTATGTGCTATGACTTTCATTTAGGAATTATTTACACCACAGTAGTCTTTAGAAAATTGTGCTTGTCTTTCAGAGCTGTTCAGGGGTTCACTGTGGGGATTCATCTTTTTCCCATCTGCATTTCAGAAACAAGTGTCCGGCTGTAACACAGTCCAGGGACTGATATGATGATCTGGCCACTAACTTCCTGTCTGACCTCGACCACTCCCTCCTCCCCAAAGTGAAAGTGAAGACCTAGAC